CCGGAATTTTTCCAGTCATCTTGAATTCTGGTAAAACAACATAATATTTTTACGAATATATACAACCACTCCACCCGAATATCGGCCTGCATTCCTCAGGCGTCGGGCCACTGATCCAAAGCTTACATAATCTGCAAACACATTGTCAACAATGTATCGCATTATCGCTATACAGAGTCTCATACAGGCCTATTGTATCATGACAATTTACGTATTGATGAAACGCATGATCACTAACCACTGAACGCATGCCGTGAATGTTCCAACTACACACGTTTGTGAAATTAAACCTTCGATAATTAGCATATATCAAAGTCAGAATCAGAATGGTCAATGTCAGGGCCATTGCCACGCCCCTAGCTTGTTGACCTGTCACTCTCACCTGGAGCCGAACTTGAACGTTTAGACGGGGTCGACATACTCCTGTCCGTGAACGTGAACTTGTTCCGGCGTCGTCCGGTCGCCGTGATCACGTTGTCCTTTAGCACATATACTTTATCCTCGATCACAAGGGTTTTTTTGTTTTTTTTAAAAAATTTTTATTCATTCGTAAGACAAGTATGCCGTCTTTCCATTCTTTCTAGCCTCGACCATGTAGGGTATGAGCACACTCCTTGCCTCGCGAACTCTTCGGGTAAAGTCGTTCACAAGGCGCACTTCCTTATTATTTTTCAGTTTGTCCTTAGCAGCTTCGACTACCGCACTTTTGTCCTTGAAGAAACTGAACTTCACGATGACTGGTTTCACCACTTTACTCGATTTCAGGCGATGTGCACGTTCAATCTGTACAGATTGGGCGTTGTCGAGCTCGATGGTATTTTCAAGAAAATGTCTCACAACCTTTTCTGTTTCGGTCCAGCTGTCAGTAGGCAAGCCCTTCACTCCGCGAATCACAGTGTTGTCACGTCGATATTCAGCTTCTTGATTGTCCATCAGTAATTCAAATTGGGGTGGTGGGGTAGCCTAGTGGTTAAAGCGTTGGCTCGTCACGCCGAAGGCCCGGGTTCGAGTCCCCACGTGGTACAACTTGTGAAGCCCATTCCTGGTGTCCCCCGCCGTGATATTGCTGGAATATTGCTAAAAACGGCGTAAAACCATACTCAGCCAGCCAGCCAGTAATTCAAATATAAGGTGTTCAGTTCAACACGAATTTGTCGCAGGACCTGTGCAATATTGTCGTCGTTCACCTCAGATTCATAGCCGTTTGGTTCACCGGAAAATTGAAGCCTTGACTGCCTTGTTTGTCCGTTTCTATCTTCTACAGTACTTTTCGTACCTTTCGTCTTCGGGCCAGGTTCAACTCGATGTCGCCACACAGTACAAGCGCCCTTGGATTGTAGACGACTTGGACACACACCAGGCTTCTTCACCACGGCAACAATGAATTCGCTCGCACTGTTCTCAGATATTGATAAATTTGGAGGACAAAAAACAGTGCACACTATCTTATTCGGTGACCCTAACCTAAACGATTTGATAACTACAAATAGAATCATTTTATAAACATGTGTATTCACAAAGTGAAAGGCCAGTAGAATCTGATTTTGATGATTTCTTTGATTGGGTGGAATGGTAATATGACAGATTTGCAAAAGGATTTTTTGAGAGAGTTATTACAGAAATAGAACTGAAAGCAAGCTTATCTCAAATGAAAAGTAATAATAAATCTCCAGGATGTGATGGTATATCAACAGTTCTATCAGTTGTTTTGGGAGGATGTTAAAGTCTCATTTATAAAGAATTTACAGCATACTTTTCAAGTAGGAACCATGACTGACAAAAGAGAGGAATTATTACACTGCTGGATAAAGCAGGCAAAGATCCCTTGCTAATTGAAAACGAAAGACCAATTACCCTACTGAATGTTGACTATAAGATAATTGCTAAAGCTTTAGCTAACAGATTGAAAAGAGTGCTTCCAGATATAATCCATCCTACCCAGACAGGCTCTGTCAAAGGTAGATATATAGGGAGAGAACATTAGATTTTTATTAGATTTATTGGAAATGTATGAAGACTCAGATGTTGGGTTTATTGTTTAACTAGATTTCCAAAAGGAGTGGGATTATATGTTAAATGTTTTTAAAATAACAATTTTGATGACACAATGGGTAAATGGATTTCGGTTTTGTTGTTCACAAAGGCAAGGCGACCAATTGGTTTCATTTGTGCAGGGGTGTTAGACAGGGATGCCCCTTAAGTCCATATATTTTTTTTTATTAGCTCAGAAATCATAAATATAAAAAAATCAGGAACAATTTAGATATTCAAGGGGTCAGAATTAGAGAGAAAGAAGTGAAAGGCATTTACTTTGCAGATGATACCAATTTGACATTAAGACATTTATAATCAGTAGCGAAAGCTGTTGAATGTTACAACAGATCTGAAAAAATAACAGGCCTTAAGATAAATGAAAAGAAAAGTAATACAGAACCGACCAATATATTGTGGTATAAGAGGTTTAGACATTGTTAAAAATGGCATGAAATGTTTAGGTATCCAATTGTTTAGAAATAATGATACTTTAGCAACAAAAAATCTCAAACCCCCAATTTTGAAAATAAGAAAACAATTCCAAATTTGGTCATCAATAAATTATCAATATTTGGAAGAATATTGCTTTCTAAAGGGGAAGGTTGTTCAAGGCTCATATACCAAAGCAGTATGATGCATGTTCCAGCAAGTTTGTGTAAAGAAATCAATGTGTAATTTTCAGATTTATTTGGAATTATAAGATTGAAAAAGTGAAAAGAACAACAATGCTAAATGTTAAAGAACCAATTGGAGCTTCAGCTTTGGATTTTACCAGTATGATGGATACCAAGATTTTATTCCTCTAATGGAAGCTGGAAATTTCTTTGATTGAAACTTTGGAAGAAATGTTTCAGTTTCAGCTGAGAGTCGCCATTTGTCAGTCCATGTTTCAGTTCTGGTTTCTGACTCACAAATTTACATGAAGTATAATGATTTAGTCTTCAAATGTTTCAGTTCTGTTTGGAAGGCACATGTTTTACATAAAGCGTGATTATATAGTCTTCTGATGTTTCAATTTCAGCTCTCACTCGACATTTTGGAGTAAGTCCTTCCATGTTTCAGTTCTGGTTTGAAGGCATAACATTTTCATGAAGTAGAATGATTTTGTCTTCTAATGTTTCAGGTTTGGTTGGGAGGCATAACATTTTCATGAAGTAGAATGATTTAGTCTTCTAATGTTTCAGGTTGGGTTGGGAGGCATAACTCCTTCATGAAGTATAATGATTTAATCTTTTATTGTTTCAGTTCTGGTTTGGAGGCACAACCTTTATGTGAAGTATAATGATATAGTGTGTAACAAAGTAAGAGACAACACCAGAAGTACAAGGAGATGGATATGATATTCCAAGGAAGACGTCTGTCGCGCCATAAGCCCAGAGTGACGTCAGGACCAGGTCTGCTCTACTGGGAGGAATGTTCCCCAATCCAAACTGGCGGAGGTGTGCACTCGACTGCTGCTGAGACTGTGTCTGTTAAGGTTCGGAGTCCTGGGTTTATATATGCTTCATGTGCCCTTGACCGGTCAACAAGGGGTCAGGCGTAAGTCATCGTTTCTCCCCGGTTATCTTGTGGTCACTCGGTGGGTAAACAACTTGTTTGTCGTCCTATGTCTGACCGCTGTTATCGCTGCGGTTTAAGAGGGTCTTCTGCTTGTACTGCGTTTTAAGAGGAGACTCGAGAACCCTTTCAAGAGCCCTTCCCCGGCCACTCGGTGGTAAATCACTCGGTGGTAAATCACTCGGTGGGTAAACAACTTGTTTGTCGTCCTATGTCTGACCGCTGTTGCCACTGCGGTTTAAGAGGGTCTTCTGCTTGTTCTGCGTTTTAAGAGGATACTCAAGAACCCTTTCAGAGCGCTTCCCCGGTCATCCTGTGGTCACTCGGTGGTAAATCACTCGGTGGGTAAACAACTTGTTTGTCGCCCTGTCCCTGACCGCTGCTGTCACTGACCACATGGTCCGCGGTGGGTAAACAACTTGTTTGTCGCCCTGTCCCTGACCGCTGCTGTCACTGACCACATGGTCCGCTGGGTTGACTTTGTTACAAGTGTTCAAATATTTCAATTTCAGCTGAGTGTCGCCATTTTAGAGTTTGTCTTTTCATGTTTCAGTTCTGGTTTCTGATTCACAACTTTTACATGAAGTGTAATGATTTAGTCTTCTAATGTTTCAGTTCTGTTTAGAATGCACATGTTTTACATGAAGTGTAATTATTTAGTCTTCTGATGTTTCAATTTCAGCTCTCACTCGCCTTTTTGGAGTAAGTCTTTCCATGTTTCAGCTCTGTTCCGAGGCACAACTTTTACATGAAGTGTAATGATTTAGTCTTCTAATGTTTCAGTTCCAGCTGAGAGTCAGTCTTTCCATGTTTCAGTTCTGGTTGGGGGCACAACTCTACGTGAAGTACAATGATATAGTCTTCTTATATTGCAGTTCTGGTTGAGAGGCACAACTTTTTCATGAATCATACTGATTTAGTCTTCTTGTGGTTCAGTTCTGGTTGGGAGGCATAATGTATTCATGAGTATAATGATTTGTCTTTTGGTGTTTCAGTTCTGGTTGGGAGGGACAACTTGCACGTGAAGTATAATGATCTAGGCTTCTAATGTTGCAGTTCCGGTTGAGATGCGCTAATTCTGTATTTTTGATATGTTGGTCATTTAATGTTTCAGCTCTATTTGAGACGCTTTGCTTAGGAATTTCATATTTATTAATCAGACAGAATCGTTTTCAGTGTTATGCTTTAACAAAACCAACCTACTACCTCAACTAGACATACATGTAGTTTGTTTTGCCACAGTGCAATGAATGTTATGTCCTATGGTGTTTTATCGTGTACACTTCCCCTTTAACAGACTTACAGTGTCAACCACAACAATATAGTCAGATAGAAATATTATCTCAACGAAATCAACTTCGAACTGAATAGTGTTTTATGCCGTGACGTTTCAGTGTTATTCCACTTACCTTGCGGACAATAGTTGTGCCCGTAGAAGAAGCCGTTGTGGCATGTGTAGTAGGTCTTGCAGCCGCTTGCTAAGTCGGGGTATCTGCTGTCAGGTTTGGTTGAGCAGTCCTCAGCGTCATTGCACGGCCAGTACCCGACTCCAGGGCTGAAGGTAAAGTGTGAGTGAGTATGGTTTTAGGCCGCTTTTAACAATATTCCAGCAATATCACGGCGGGCGACGCCAGAAATGGGCTTCACACATTGTACCCGTGTGGGAATCGAACCCGGTTTTTCAGCGTGGCAAGCGGACGCTTTATCCATTAGGCTACTGGTAAAGGTAAACTCTCATTGCCACAAACTGGTGAAGCCAGCCGTTTCATTGTGGATTACATGTAATAGTTACTTGGCAGTATCTCTTCAAGGTTGTGACCTATAAAACCAGTACGATACGCCATTATTGTTTTCCAGCTATCTAGATAAGATTGTTAGCAAAGTGGGTTTATTATGTTTTACAGATTAAGATGCAGCAGAGAGGGTTTGGCTGATCCTCGAACAGTCAGACTGGTAGGGCTCATCATCAGCTCAGGGCCCTTGCCCCCTCTACACGCAGCCCAGACAGGGAATGGGACTTCTCCCAGGAAACGCTGTCTAGTCGAACCCACCAATAACTTTCCGGAGAATATGTAGACTCCCCAACACTGCAGCCTTCTGCATTACCCAGAGTGTCAGAAGGGCTGTGCTCCCGGTGGAGAACCCGGGAACTCTCCTGATCTGCGCCAAGAGATCAGGAGGTACCAAACCAAGAGCACCGAGAACAATGGGAAGTCTGGCGACAGTCTACTTGGAATGCAAGCGAGACATTTCAAAGGCGAGGTCCGCATACTTAGCATGCTTTTCCTGAATCTTGCCAATCATATTGCTGTCAAAAGGGACAGAAAATTCAATGATATAAATGAATTCATTAGCTTTAACAAAAAGGACAAGATCAGGTTTGTTGGCAGGTATTATTCTTAGGCTGTATATAGGCCTATACCAAAGAAGTTTAAAAGAATCATTTTCCATGACGCCCTGGACATGTTCAGGGTCGTACCATGGATGGACCTCAGAGTCAAAGCTACAGGCATGGCGAAGGCGATTGTAAAAGCAACGAACCATGCCATCATGTCGTTTAAGATAAGCTGTTTGTGCCAAGGAAGGGCATCCACTAACAAGGTGTTGGACAGTCTCTGTAAATTCATTGCACAATCGACATTTCATGCAAATATTTTCTTTAAGAATCACATTTAGGCGATTACGAGTGGGAAGTGACTGGTCCTGAGCAGCAAAGAGGAAGCCCACAGTTTCACATTTTAGACCAGCCGACTTCATGCAGACGAAGGAGTCGGTTGGATTGCTATTCTGTTCCACACACTGCATGTACACATGATGCAATGGCTTCTCAGAAAGCTTCTCCACAAATGACCGGCTCTGGGCAGACCTGGTGAAGGACTTCACCTGGTTTACTCCCATTGCTGTACATTGCCATCAACAAAATCAACCTCAAATTTCAGATTCTGTCCAACAACGTTGGCACGCTTAAAATAGCGGTGGAATTCCTTGCTTTCATCATGAGTCTCGACATGCATCACCACAGGATCATCCGATAAATAAATATGTGCAAAAGTACACAAAAGAATTCTAACATGAAGAGCCTCCACATTAATTAAACCCTGACCTCCAGAAACGATAGGCATAAGAGAGGAACGAAGGTGGTGGGCTCTGTTATCAGACATGATCCTTTTGGTCAGGCGGCCAAGACTGTGGATGTCTTGTTTTGTCCAATCAACTATTCGACCGCCTCCGTGGTGTAGTGGTTAGAGCGTCCGCCCGGAGAGCGGAAGGTCGCGGGTTCGATCCCCGGCCGCGTCATACCAAAAGACGTTAAAATATGGTACTTGTTGGTCCCTGCCTGGCGCTCGGTGGGTACAACAAGTACTGGTCGGCTCGGAGTCAGTATAATGTGTCTGAGTGGGATATTCATGCTTCACTGGTATCTCAGTGGGCTAGCACTATAAAACCAGCTTCTGTCTGGGCTAGTACAAGCAGCCGCACATACACATACACACGCATGCACGTCGTCATATGAGCGAAATATTCTCAAGCACGACGTTAAACCCAATTTCACCTCACCTCATCTCACCAATCAACTGGCACAGCAAAAGTATTGGTGGCTTTGACCTAGTTTCGAGCATTTAGCTCTGAGCTCGAGATTTTATTTAAGCGAAATTTGTACTCGGCCCGAAGTGTCTCTTGAATATGGGCATTCAGGAGCTTGTCTCGAACTTGCAGTCGAAGATAGGTGTAGGCCTGATCTTCCACAATATGTTCAATAACTCCCCCCATGTAACGTGACTAATCCATCATAAGGTACCTTGCCACGTTTCAGATGAAGAGTATTACATTGTCGAGCCCAAATGTCATGCCAGTATCATTAGAAAAGGACTCGACAAGGAGAACCTGCTCTTTCAAATTGGTATTTCCTTTGGCAAGGAGCTCAATGTCATCCATGTAAAGGATATGAGTAAGCGGTGTTGGGGATCTGTGCTGAGGAGGTCCAGGATGGTAACCCACCCCCTCTGTTGAGCAGAAAACTCAAAGGATTTAAAGACAAACAAAAAAGCAAAGGACTGAAGGGGTCCTCTAAAATATTCCCCTTCTGATTGGAATAGATTCCGAAGTCTGCACCTGCCCTTGCGAGTACATCTCAAGTTGAATCGACCAGCAACTCATTAAAAGACTTGAGTAAACCAAGTAGTCGTTCAGGGAGGTAAATACAACGAAGAGAATTCAGAACCCATTCATGAGGGACTTTCTTGTAGTCAATCCAGCACATGGAGAGGTTGCGGTGATATGTTTAGCCTCTTCCAAAATATTTTTTTGTACAAGAAGTTGATCCTTGCACCCCCAACATCCCTTTCTCGCTCCCTTCTGCTCACTGTAAATTATATCATTGGAAGAACAGTAGGATGACACGAGGTTTGTCAAACACCCTGTGAAGAGTTTATATTGAGTATTCAAACATGTGATAGGGCGGATCAGTCAAGTCTCCTTTTTTGGGAAGGAGTATTGTGCGACCTTTGCAGAACCACGGAGGAACATCGCCTGTGTCTACAAGAGAATTGAAACAGTGAAGTAATGGTGTTTGGACACAGGGGAACAGTTTCCAATACCGGTTTTGAATGCCATCAGGCCCTGGAGCTGTATTAGATTTGGACTTTTTGATAACACTTTTCATGCAATCTGGTGAGATATTACAGACAAATCACCCTGTTATTTTCTCATGCATTGCATGATTGTAATCACGGACCCACGGTGCCTCAAGGTTACAGTCATCGGGTATAGACCATAACTGTTTCCAGAACCTTTCACTGGCATCCATGGGAGGCCGCCTTTCATGCTCATCATCACCCGTTGTTTTCAGTTGCCTGTAGAAGTGCTTTTCATTATTTCTAGAAAGTTTATTTTGTTTGATAAATTTGATCCTCTTTTCCCATGTTTTCTTTCTCTCTGTTCAAACCTTTAATTTTGCCTTAAGGGAATCGACAATTTGGAGAAGTATCTTTTCTTTCGTTGTCTTGTATTGTAATTTTAATTTCTTCCAAATTGCCTTTTGCCTTCTTGACATGGGGTTCCCTGACGATCATATTTTATTTTAAGGCACAGCTCAATCCAGGAAATGTTTCTTCTAGTTTCATTAAGTTTTACTAGAAGCTGGTTCCCCAGCGCGGAACGGGGACCTATGTATTCAGCAGAGTCCGTCCGTCCGTCCGTACGTCCCGATTCTTGTTAACGCGATATCTCATGAACTGTTGTACCCAATGTCTTCAAATTTGGTGTCAGCCTACATTGGGGATTACACAGACACCAGTCGATTTTCGTGACCTTGACCTTATTTTCAAGGTCACCACAACACTTTGACCACATTTCCAACTTATTTAAACGCGATATCTCATAAAACATTGCACCCAATGTTTTCAATTTCATGTAATGAACAGTCCGCAGAGAGATGTAGAGAAATGGCTCTGTTATGACGTAAATTTTAATAAAACGTAAATTGTAATACTTGCAGCAAATTGTAACAACCCTTACGTAAATTGTAATAAATACGTATATAGTAATAAAGATTGACGTAAATTGTAATAATTTTAGTTGCGGTAAAATGTAGTAAATATTTACGTAAATTGTAATAACAGTTTTAATCATTCGTAAATACGCGTGTGTTCGTTTTTCGTTGAATTTCATAAATCATATAAGCTTGTTAGGGCGATAACTCAAGAAAGAAATCATGGATTTTATACGAATTTGGAATCAAGGTGTCGTGGCGAGATTCACCAACACCAGTTGAATTTAGTGACCTTGAGAACTCAAGAAAGAATGGACAAATTTTGCTTAAAGGTCACATAAACCCTAGGGGGGTAAAAATACATAAATCACTAACTCGCATCGTTATAAATGAAACCCCGTCATTAAAACTACTCATTTCGACCTTTAATTGACTTAAATCGACCTTTTTTGACAACAGTGCTCAATTCTCACCCGCGAACGATATTTCAACCAATCAGAGCGGCGCGACTCTGTGACGTCATATGAGGAATAGCTTGGAGGGCCTGTGCAGAATTCATCTACATTTTAGGGGTTAAATTATCTTGTTTACAGGCTTGTATAAACCTGAAATCGTGACAATTGTTGTGGAAAATGAAAGCTATATGTTCTCACAATCTACTGTCATTTAATTTTGTCTCCTGCTTTGCCTAGTTTCCGAGTTACAACTTGTTTTCATAGACGATTCTGTCAAAATCGATTGGTGTCGTTAGGCCCTATTTGTATAATGACTGATCCAAATTGATCCCATTTCTGTGTTTTTACCTCGATATTTAATCATGTCATGTAAAATCTGTTTGTATTCTCAAAACAGTGTCGGCCCATAAGTTTTCACATGCAATACAGCAATTAATACTCCCTTGTTGTAACCCGTGTTAGGTGGTATAAACCTACACATGTTATTTGTCATCATTCACTTGATGGTCAGTTAATGAATTTATAACAGGTATAATTAGTGGTAACACACTTAAATTACCCGACAAAGGTTCCCATTTGGCATTTCTTGTGTCTGGAGTAAATATTCAA